CTTTTTAACAATATAAAGGGTGTATATAATAATTTTACATAAATATCATTATTAAAAATTTAACATATGCAATAAATGAAATAAATATTGGTGCATTTTCTTGCATTACGTTATACAAAATATATATCTCTTTTCAGATCGGATGTCCAACTTGCTGATTCATGGAAAAATAGAAAACGTCGTCTTTTTACATTCAACATGACAAGGTAAGATATTAATATTAATTTTATTTATGCAGTATTACAAATTAGTTTTTATAAATTATTACGATAAAAAAAAATATACGACAAAATTTTTTTATCTAAACCAATTATAAATAAATTTTTTCTATAGTATATATTCTATAACGGACAAATGTCGCTCTTTACAAGGATATAATTCGTGTTCTCTTACAATGTTAGTATAATTAATGGTTCTCTAGCAATAGCTTACCCGCACCCTACCATTAGCTCTAAGTATTTATGGCCTCATTCATTTCATTTTATGTTTCAATTCAAACGTATTGATGCAATTTACCTGTGTGTTTTACACATAGTATATTAAAATAATTTGCTCATTTTATTTTATTTCATAAATTTTAGTGTGTGTATTTATAAATATTAAATTTGTACACATATAAAATATGTGTATAAAAAATTCTATAAATGTACATATATATAGATTATGGAATTTTAAAATATTTCCAGAAATCTATTATAGAATATAAAAGATATAGAAACACACACCCATGAATCGAAATATTTCAATCTCTGCAATAAATTATGGATTGTTACATTCTATTTTTTCATAAAATTTATTAATATCTCTGTAAAGTAAATTATTTAATTCGATATCCGATTCTCATATGTTTTCTTCTATCGACAATTATCGATTACGCAGACATCAAGCTACCAAAAACAAAGCGATTTTAAGTAGTTGTGCCATCAAAAACGTAACGCGAGCATCAGGTAGTAATTTATCTGATGTTATTTAATTATATGACGTCTAAATGACGAATTATGTGTTTTTACGATGTTCTAACATCCAAAGATCCTCAGGTGAAGGTTTCTACTAACGGTTATTCTTTGCCTTACCTCACTAGCCTCACCTGCGAGAAAGTTTCTCAATCGGTAAGGTAGATCACTCTTAAGCTTTAACGAGTCTTGAACGTATTAAATAAATTGGTCGTCAATTACTACTGGGTTATAATAGCTGTCCTCGCGCGTTCCTTTCTTCTTATTACAAACTCGTTTTATTCTTGATAATTTTCCAGTTACTTTTTTTGTCTCGCAAGAAATTTGTTCATACGTCTTTCAGTCATTATCATACTCGCAAGTGTCGATGTTCTCGTTTTAGTTATTAATCTGTAACAGAAAAAATAAACATATAAATACCATGTTTTGTCTCGTAATTTATAAATGCATCTGTGCATCGAGAAAATTGATAATGACAACTGTCTTATTTGTAAAGATAACAGCAGTGATAGTTTGAATTTAAAATTTTTGAGATTGTGCAATACATTTTAGATATTTATATGCGTCAATGATTATTGTAAAATTCCTAATATCGACTGCGAAACTACAGAAAATTCGATGCAACCTTTACAATCAGGTGATGACACGAAAGACCGCCAGATGGCAAAGGAAGCATCTTCCAAATCCTTGCTATGTGATTTTATCTTTACTCCTGATGCACTGCCGATCAATATAAGTGCTAATTAATAAGATTTTTAAAAATTTATGAACTTTTAATGGTATGATAAAGCAAGAATAACATTGTCTAGTTAGAAAAGCTATCGTAAAATACACACGCACATGCTAATCCATTTAAGATTATATCTTTTGGAGTACAGTACGCTGTTAGTAAAAATTACCCAGTAAGTAAGAAACGTCAAGAAACATTTCAACTACATTGCATTAATGTTAAAACGTTGCTGTAATGTAGTTAAAATGTTTCTTGATGTTTCTTGCTTACTGGGTAAATTATTACATAATTAAAAGAAATTATATTTTAAGATTTTAGTTTTTATATTATTAATATTACACAATCAAAGAAATTTTTATTTATTTATATTATCTTCAAATTAGATGGTATATTTAACATTTCGATTAAAACACTCAAAACGTAATTCGCTAAAATATTATCCAGTTCACTATTTTCTTTCGTTGTCATGTTTCGTATTTTGAGTTTCACAATCTTTACGTAAGAAATAATAACAGCAATAATCTCAATGTTATCTTAAAATGTCAATGTTTGTTGATTAAATATTATTAAATTGAATATGAAAAAGAGAGATGCGAGATAGTGAGTGCGTAGGAATGTGCAATACAAAAAGCAATGTTAATATAGAGAAAGAAGGAAGATTCAACCAGAATGAGAGCCCAAGCAGTGCGTTGAACCATTGCTTGGAGAAAAGTGGAGGAGCCAAAGCCACCAGAGCGATGAAGAATGAATGCTGGTTTAGCAAGAGCGCAGATTTGCCTGACTCGGGTGCAATGGCCCCATCGTTTTAGTGTTCGTCTTCTCGTATAGCTACGCCTCCTAATCCCTCTTTCAAAATTCTCGTTTTGTCATTTTAATTTTTTTTTTAGATCTATCTATAGAGTGAACCATCTATCATTCACATGGATTTTTTTTATCGATAGTTAGCGATGATACCTGCGTTTTTGCTCGTACCGCGTGGAATATATCACGGTATAACAATAAGCACGAAATACTCAATTTCTACAGCGTGTAATTCAAAACTAAAATACACTAACATAATGACAGAAATCATCGACGAAACGTAATAACATACAAGCAGTAGATAGGTACTTGACTTTTATCGGTAGATTCATCAAATTTAAATTCGTTAAAACGATATTTGATACTAAAGGGGGATCTTTGAAACTAGCCATTCGATGTAAATGCCGTTTTAAAGAAGGCATTTAGGCCCATTTTTGAGTATCCATATGGCCCGTTACACCTTCCCCATTCACATGGTGACTTTCCTCACGCCCCCACTATATTCGACACGCGCCCTTCTACGTTATAAGCTTAAAGGCCCTGACTTTTACGATTCTGTTCAAGTGGTCATAAAACCGAAGTTTATTGCCGTCATGATTTTCAAGCAAACGGGCTGCCACCTGTCGGAGTCTCGCAAAGCGAAAACTGTATTGGGTCTTCATCAACGGCACCATCAAATTAAAAGCTTAATAAACTTTTATGTAATTTATACGCTTATTCAGTGTAGCGATCAACGATGTGTATATATAGTGAAGATACAACCATCTATTAGGAGCAGTATAACTCTAGCATTATGTATTACATTCTTTTTTATATTTATATTATTTATAATATTGTATTTATTATCTATTATTTATAATAATTAAAAATAGGATGTAGGAGCTAGTTTTTATATAGCTGACTGTTTAGCAGATTATTTGAACATATTGCGGATGTTATTTTTCTCGTTTACTTAGAACGGTCCAACCAATTTGCATTTATGCCGACTTAAATATTCGAATTTGGATATCTTTTACTCTCGTGTATTTTTGAGAGCACAGCAGGAAGCTAATATTCTAAGTATTCATAATGACAAGAACGAGTAAGCAAATAACTAGGGTCAGCTCTAGCGAGCAGCTTATGATGGGCATTACTCGGCTCGTTACGGAATAATTTACGAGGTGCGAACCGCGGGGACGATAATCCAGCGACATTTACATCCCAATAAACACTCCCGATACTAGCGTGGCACGCGCCGTGAGAAGTTGCTTATTTGACTACTGACCTCACGGAGCTCACTTTTACGACATTTTAATTGTGCGATCGTCGTTTAATTGATCAGTAAAATAAGGGTAAATGCCTCGTAAAAGGCGTTTACGATAATATATTCTTATCTTTACATTTATTTTCATATCTACATCATCCTCGCATCGTCAAGTAGCCTCGATATCGGACCGGTTCGATCTAATGCAATTTCAAATGATCGAGATGTTTCATAATGCTCTTCGTTCCTAAACCCGTTTACCTTCCCGTTTAGCGCACGACTTGTCGATCAGGCTATTCCACGTCACGACAAATTTACGATGTTGCTACTGCAATAACGATAATCGCGAGATAGCTCGTTGATGTTGGTCGTTTGAATGTCTGAATGGATCTGGCGAGGCTAGTTCGCTACAAGACTCAAAGGTGGCGGTGCACGTATCCCCACGAACGGTCGTAGAGGAGAGAAAGAGAAGGCAGAAACATTGCGTGACGCGCGTGCCGCGCGGTCCTCCATCTCCCTTTCTTTCTCTCCCTCTTTCTCTCTCCGGTACGGGCACACAGCGTGCCTGTATCCACCGGTATCTCGCACGTTTCGGTAGTGGGAGTCCGCGGGGCGGTGCCTAGCCGCTCATGGGCGTCGTTCCGACTTGGAACTACTTTCACACGGCGTAGGAACTTTCATGCCACACCAGCGCGGTATTCGTGACGAATTCAATTCTGATTGGTCCTTAAGTATAACCTCCTCCCTTAGCGGCACATTCTCCCTCCTCGGCACTATCGCAACGGCACTCGCTCCGTTTCGTCTTGCTCTTAGCTGTTGCAATTGCGCATAACGTTCTTTCTTTTCTTCTTTACCCTCCTCCTGCCCCGTCTTCTTATCCGTTTCTGCTCGTGTCCTTACGTGCTTTCATCCCTCTCTTATTTGCTATCTCGTCTCTTCTCTTTCTTTCGTGCGCCGCGACGAGAAGTTCTTTCCTCTTTCCTTCCGAAGTCTTATCTGGCTCGCGCGTCTCAAATGTGACGCGCACGACGAGCGAGTACGAATTTAATCTGGCGGTACGTCGTTGAGTTACTGGAACGCTCGATAGGTGGCACTGAGGAATCGTATCGTGAGAAAGAGGGAGAGGTTAAATCGAATGGGAAGGGAGAGGACGAATATCGTTGAGAGGTGGAGCGAGACAGAATCAGAGGGTGAGAGAGCAATTGTGGGGGGAACGCATTGGGGGTGGAAGAGGGGGACAACAACGACAGTAGACAGAGCGAGAGAGCTCGGTTATCGTACCAGGAGGGGATGGTATACGAGGAACAAGGAGGGATACGGGCACTGCGATCTCTCCGTTAGGACGTAGTACTCCGGAGGAAGAGTACGGCGCGAGTGAGAAGCGACAACCGCACGAATGGGTAGGAGTGACCGTGACGGAGAGTGAGAGAGAGAGTGGACGGAGAAACGGTGGTTGGTGAAACAGGGAAGGAAACTTCGGAGAGAGTGCGAGAGAAATCGACTGCGAAGAACAGAGACGAAACGAGGTGAACGAGCGAGCAAGAGACGGACGACGGTACAGAGTGGCGGTACACGGGGCGCGAGAAAAGCGGTAGTGTGCCGTGGACCACCGCACTGGCATACCGTGATTCGTTACGATCCCCATCGTCCTCTCTGACTCGTACCGGACCAGACAGTCGTCAGCGAAGTCACAATACGACAAGTGCTAGTGCAGTGCGAACTAGCGGAGTCACTTTTGATTCCGTGACAGATCGACCGGCTTTTCAAGAGGCCTTTACCTGATCGAACGCGAAAATTTAGTTTATTTTAAAAAGAGGAAGAGAGAGAGAAAGAGAGAGAACCGCCCGCGAGGGTGGCTGTCGCGTGCCGGCTGACCGAATCGTCGTCGGGCGAGCACGCGGTAGAGGAACCCACAGGCAATTTTATAGCCCGTCTTATTACCTAAGTTTATTGCATCGTAACGGTTTAACGATCATCGCCTGTTTCCATAGTCGAGACCACCAGTTTATGCTTTGCCTGTAGCGGTAACCATAACAAGACCATAAAAGCCCCCGGCCGCTGACATGAGACCCATTCTGAATTACACTCTTACGGCCTACTGATATTGACACTCTGGGTGTAACCAGCTATACCTGCCGATGACTTTTATTACCTCTTAAAATTGTTTAATGCTCGTTTATTTGTCCCTCGTCAACTCTATCACTTGTCGCCACCCGTGTCAAACATATCGCTTTCTTAAGCGCGTACGTTTTAACTTGGAACGTAGTACGAGGTCAGAGGTTTTAACTTCTGTTTAATTTGAACAAGTTAAATCGGTGTAACCCGGCATCGGAATTGGAGTACGGACTAGTGAATTCGACTAGCCGTGTGCACTCCATGTAACTGCGGGCCGCTTTGAACTCTGACTTCTTTCTTCGCTTTTTTTGAGTGCCGGTGTTTTAGTGTAAGTGATCCAAAATACCCGGGATAATGAACTCGTACTTTGAGCAGACCGCGGGTGGCTTCTACGGAAGCCACCATCATCAAACAGGAGCGGCGAGTCAACATCATGATCCAGCCACTGCAGCAGCGTATCGAAGCTTTCCACTCGGATTAGGTATGTCGCCCTACGCCTCGGCGCAGCATCATCATCACACCTCATCCTCGTTAGGAATCCACCCAGGCGGTGGAAGCAATACAAGACCACCTCAAGACTCGCCGTATGATGCGAGCGTTGCGACGGCCTGCAAGCTTTATTCGACGACACCTGAGGCGACCGGTCACACCACGTCCTCATATTCAACAACGGCAACGAAAGACTGTAAGCAACAGGATCAAACGTCGACCCATCAAAACGGTTATGCCGCGGTGATGGCAGCGGCGGCGGTCAAGGACGTTTGGCAGTCAGCGACCTCGGGAGCGAACAGCCAGAGTAATTCGGTCGTACGTCCCTCCGCGTGTACCCCAGAGAGCACAAGGGTCAGCAGCTACGGTGGCCTCGTAGGCGGCGATCCGGCATCGAGTCCTGGTAACAACAGTTCGTCAAGATCACTCACGTCGTCTTGGAACACCTGCAGTTTAAACTCGTCCGCGAGTCAACCGGTCGCCACGCAACTGCATCAGCAACCTACTACCAACCATACCTTCTACCCTTGGATGGCTATAGCAGGTGAGTTTGCATTCATAAATGCTCTCTTATAAGACTATTATCATAACAGCCGCGATGAAATATAGGAGCCACTATGGTTAGGGGAAACGTGGGGAGCGACGACCACGTGGTCGGGAAGGCGTGGTGGATCAGGTTTGCCCGTCTGGTTATACCGGACTAAATTGTTAAAATTGCTTCCACGCGATCAAATTACCTAGAAATCGTGCGATGAGATTATAGAATAGAACGTTTCACGTGCATCACGAATAAATCCAGATAGATGAAAAATTTTTTATTGCGCGTGAACAAGATGAGTTATTTCACTCTTCTTTTGTTTACAAAAAAAGCGGAAGATATAGATATATGTTATATTCGTCGAATGCGTACTACCATGCCGAATGCGTTGAAATTTTTCGCCAAGTCTATTTGTGCGCCGTTTTGAAATACGGCGTGTCCGTCATAAAACCCGTGATAATAGATTTACAATCGTTGACAAAATAAAAGCATTCCATTACCTTCTGGTCGAATAAATACGATGACAAAAAAATTGGTAGCGACTAAAACTAACATGTAAAAGTGATATTAAATTATTGCTGTTATAGCTAACATTTGTCGAAATTTTTCTTACGTAAGTTTGAGATTGATATTGCCGTTTCTAAAGTGGCAAATTTTTCTAGACTCTTAATTGTCGAGCGCATAAATTATCATTTGATAGCATAGTAACGAGTAATAAATGATAACAGTAATAAATGTGCGCTCATGATTACTTTTAAATTGCTAGTCTTACCCCACGTTTCCATACGTATTCGTATAAAATGTAAATTTCACGAGTTTTTTATTTTCGCATGTGCAATGTCAACACGCGCGGGCTATGTTGTGGAAAATCGACCGTGTACCTTGGCAAAATTATGTCTGCTAGATAGGTAGAATGGAGTCAAGTGCGTGTAAAATCGTTGGGTACGTTGGGTATAATGGGGAAGTCCTCGTCCAATTGGGGGTTCAAGTGCCTTCCCCACTGTACTCACCCCACCGGAACCCCGAATTCCGGTAGTCAGCTGTTTCTAGCGGTGTCTTTGTCCTTTTCATTGCGAGAGAGATACTCCCGAATAACCTTCTGCTTTGCCGTTAGTAGATATATAATCAAGGGCTCATGGGTTATATCGCACTTTCGGTGAGACTATTTCCTTTACCAGCTCAACTGAGACTAGGTTTCTAGCTAGCTAGCAGTTTTTTTTGTTATCTCCTTTTTCTTTGCTCCAAACCGCCTCTAGCTCTTCCTTCTCGACGGGAATCTTCTTTACTGTTTTTTTCGGTCGGGTTTAAGAGTCACTTCTTTTTTTCTTCATCTTCAACTACAAAAGATATTTTACATATAAAGGAAGGAATTATTTTAAGAAACACCAAAATATTATTCAATGAATTTTGTAGTATGTAAATTCTGCAACGTAAATTTTTTCCTATAAAAAACAATTTTTAATATTCAAACGTATATCTTTTCATTATCACTTTGTAAGCTATATTATATCGCTCAAGAACTTGCTCTATACTTTAGGAATTTCCTGAAATTCCTAATTATTACGATAATTTAGTAATTTATTAATTTTAAATTATAATACATTTTTAATGAAAAACCTACACGCGAGCGCACACATACATGCACGCACAAAGTTATTATTTTATTTATCATCTGTTTAAGAATTGAAAGGAATAGTTTTCCATTCATCTTTATCTCGATCAATTGGATGTTCCGGATCATTGATTACGGGTTACGAATTGCTTTGATGATACATGGAACGCAGTGTTTATAGGAATCGTAGGAATGAGAAAAAGTATTTGATTGGTCGCATACTCGTATAACAGGTTCTATGCACTCGCGGATTGAAAGTCGTTGACTCATTTCGCACTCTCTGGCAAGTGCTTTTCAGTGTTGTTGGTACAATCGAGCATGTAGGAAAATTTATCGGTACAGGATTATGGATTAATTTGTCGTAGATTTGCAGTTAAATATAGAGCTATCAATGTCTATCGGCATTCATCTATTATCAAATACGATAAATGACTCTGATTTGTAGCCTCGGCTGTGTAGGAAATTAATTTACATGTCGTAGCTTCCGTGATATTTTGAATAATCATATTTAGATTAGATAACAAGTGTAGAAATATATATGATTTATGATACATCATTATATTGACATTGAATTGTTATATTGCATTTTACTATACAAAATTTCTAATTAACACTTTTATAAAATCTGTTTCAAATATATGATGCAGAGAGTGACTGTATTAAAATTAAATTAGTATATAACTTATAACGTGTGACAGCATAATAATACCATTTAAACCTTTACTGCAGCTATTATGAAAAGCTAAAAATATATATATGCGTTTATGCCTATTGTCTCTATTCATTCTTTAAATACTTATCGCGGTAAAGGTAATTATATAGTTAGAATGCATGCTAGTGTGAAATATTGCATTTGTCGCTTAATTTATCGCGCTTCTAACTACACCTTTGTGTATCGTAAGTGTATGATAAACGATTGCGAGATCGATTATATGTCCAATTCATATATAATAAATGTGAAGGTAGACATGGCGTCCGTAATATAAGTCTGGTTAATATATTACTTGATATTAAAAGAACAAATTTACAATTCTGTAGCTTTTTATTTTTTATAAAAAAACATTATTTCCAATGATTAAACGTACATTTTGTCGTTACTTCTTTTTTGTTAATGTGCATTTTATAAATCACTTAGGAAGCTACCGATTTTCGGCACGCGCGCGTGATTAATGTGCTGTATCTACTTTTATTTATCTACTTCTATCTTTTATGTGATGTATACTTCACACGCATTTATCAATACCGTCAATTCAATAACAGATACACATAGTTATAAAAAAGTTCGAAGTATAAGAATCATGTACTCATTAACTTAAGCAAAAAATGCTTAATCAACAATAAAAAAAAAATGACTTCATCAAAGACGGAAGCGATCTTAATCTTTTGTTTTCGTCTATTTTTGCAGATAGTATATAAGTAAACGATCTCAGTTTATAGCGAATACTATTAATATTTAAATTTCGAAACTTTTTTCTAATATTTTACGTAATATTAACATTAATTTTTTCTATATTTAATACTAAAAGTAGTAATTTCTTCCTTAAATTAGAAACATAGTGTTCACTAAATAATCTGCGATACTTACCAATAGCAATGAGATAGCATATATCTTTCTTTATAGAGCTGATTCACTTTCTCGGGATATACCTAAACGCGAACAATATTTATCACTCCTCATTGAGGGGTGACTGCGTCTACAGGGTAATTAGAGGGCGCGACGATAGAGGCTGGGGTGCTATTTAGGCATCTCTTCATTCCAGCCTATTGAGAGTGAACCTCTTTTACGGTGCAGATCTAAAAAAGGATCCTTTTTAAAGCTACATTAAGGGTTGCACGATAACTTGATACGGGAGTATTAATCAAGATAAATATGCCGAATAAACGTGCCATTAATGTAGCTTCCGTTTTCGAAGTTTACATTCATACTTCCGATGCATTTAAATAAATGCTGCTTTAAAAAATTAATATAATGTAATTTGTTTTCGCAATGACGAATAGTTCAGCAATCTTTGTCAAAGACAAAAAAAGAAATAAGACGCTAATTAATCTATATTAATTTATTTGAATAAAATATGTATTTGTTATTAATGTGTGAATTACAAAAACGAAATTAATATTAGCTAGCGCGTGGTACGGTCATAAGGATATTCAACGAATCTCGAACTCCTTCGCCGGATTCCCGCGTAAAAGCCACGTGGTGTCAGCGTCGCTCCCGAGTTGGAAAGGAGCATAGTGCTACTTTCTGCAATACGACGGTTGCGAGTAGGTAGGTGTTACGTACCTCGGGGAGCAACCTCGTTCAATATAAAGCAGCTAGGAACAACGTTGTAACCGTAACTTTGACGTTTACGACAACGAAATCGTGGCTCGGCTCGTTTATCCCTCCTTCTCCGAGAAACCCCCACTTACTGCTATGGCCGTTTATGAGGTTTGCCGGTAATACAGCGCTCTACTCTCGTATCGGAGAAGATCAGCTCTGATCTTCATGAGTCGTAAGATTCCCCTTTTACGGAACAGAAACACTCCAAAGTCTTGCCTTACACAAATTCGGGCTTTTCTTCGCACGATTTATTAGCATCATCTATGAAATAAATGTTTATTAGTTAAAAATATAAATAAACATATAAATTATTTGTGTGATTAATTGTTACGAAGGATATCACATTTATTATCATCAAAATATTTTATTTTAAAATTTTCATATATTCTTCTGTAAAATTAAAAATATAGATAACTAAGAATGTGATGAGAAAAAGAATGCGATAAAAATGGTGTTTAGTTAGTCGTAAAAAGGTTGCCTCTCATATCAATGCGTATCTTAAAATCAATTGTTGCATACTATTAGAGGATTATATGACGGATATGCATCGAGTGTAGGCGTGCATGTTGCACACAGGTGATCAAGCGGTCCGGATTTCTTCCATGTATAAAGGTGTACGAAAACTCAGGCACGTGTAACACAGACACTCACACTATGGCATCACGACCTAAAGAGGCAGCCTGAGTGAGTGCGTTCTTCGTATATGGAGAGAACCCTTTCCGTGTGTTGCTCCGTTGGCCCGGATGAAGTATGACGTACGAGCCTCTCCGTATGACTTACTACGCCCTTTTTCCCTTCTCCACGCCCGCCGCTCGTACTGTTCAATCGAAAAACATTGGAGCCCTCTCAAAAAATGCGCGCTCTTTAGTTACAATATGCGCCTTTCGACAAGGGAAAGTAAGAATATAACGCAGGAGATATACAAGACACATACTATAGTTATTATTGTACGTCATGCCGGATGTTTGGTAGTCTTGAATATCTCGAAAGTAAAAATGTAAAAATTAAAAATAGACAACACATTGGATATGTTATTTTATTTTTTATTTTATTTCTAGATATTCTCCTAATATTGATCATATTCCACCCTTCTATGCAATTTTTACCATTGAGTAATTAATTAACGGATATAACGAAATGAAAGATTCAAAAATAAGTTTCGAGTAATCTGATCATAATAAAGTTCGTGTTTTTTCCTCGTAATCATTTTTCTTAAGACATATATTCACTCCATTGTTTCAGATGAATAAATATATTCGTTCTGCTATCTATCTGTTGATACAGTGCTAAACTCGTAATAATACTTGATCATGCGATTCCTCGATGTTTTTTTTTTTGTTAGATTCTGCTTTGTAAGATCGACGGCATTATATAGTAAGAAATCACGTATGATTAAGCGGAAGCGGAATGAAAAGCGAACATTGCGAGCGGCGTGACGAAGGATTAGCAAGAACACAATTTTCATAATCATTCCGGCGTAATACCATCGCTGCAGTCTACCAATCGAGAGATTACTGTTGCACTCTGCAAGGTAGAGACTAGTTTCGACCTCGGCGCCATTAGCCGAGATGTGTGCCTACAGGTACACATGTACGTGTATCTCGCGGACCTTTCGCATTTTAATTTAAGCATCGCCTTGCGTCCAATCACGCTATTCGCGCTGTATATAACGTCCGACTTAAGGTATAATCTTTGATCGATCGTATCGTCCCCGCGTCCTGTCCCACGTCTTGCTTCTTCCTCTCGCAACTAGTAATTTTGACCCGCATGGTGCTTCTCGAAGAACTTCAATAAGCTTGTTATTTTTATTATATTTAAGTTTCGTTCCTGTTTTGATAATAAAATAATTACATAATATTCATATATATATAACAGGGCCCAGATAAAATATTCGAACAAACTGTGTGATCGCAGTAAACTGTGCGAAGTAGAAACATTTAAGCTTCAAGTTCAGAAAGGCGTACAGTTTTCAGCGGAACTGTTTGATCAATTCTCGATGTCTGTAGATTCGACTGAAGCAGTTCAGACATCAAGAAAATTCCGGACACACATTATTACAAAGAGGAATTAACTATCTTATATTTATTCTTTTCTCACAATGCATCGCATAACTTCATTTTGTAATTTTCAGTCTAACTTTCTTATTGAGATATTGACGAAAAAAAAAAGTAATTGTCGAGGCACATCCTGTTAGTTGTAATCCTTTTTAAAGAGAATTACATGTGAATTTCTTGCGTCCACGAATTATGACGAGAATGAAAAAATGTTTATGTATATGTGGGCATAAGCGTAACGCGCGCAGACTGCCGAGGCGTTGAGGCGCTGATCGGTACGTCACGCCGCCGCCAGTATAGCGACTGCCAGGGTTCTCAATTTGATGGACGAGCTGTTCGCATGTACATACAACTCGTGCACTAGTCTGACTTTATATACCGACAACAACCATACGCTACCTCACCGTTTTGCAAATTTCATGCCGTAGAAATTATTGTTAGCAGCCAGTATTAATCTTCGTATATCGTCGTCAGCGTCTGTTTCGATCAATTAATAAAGCAAGACTTCTAATATGAGAGACATTAATGCTTTCTGAAATGGACATTGTCACATGAATCCGTTACATAGTAATGGCTTTATCCATTAAGTTATACATATATATCTATTTAGAATTTGCCTACAGCAAATATTTTTTAAAAAGTTTATTAAGTATTAAGTATTATATATTTGCGTGTCTCATATTTGTATCGCATTATTATTCGAGGATTTAGTTCAAATTAGAAATATTTTCTTTTTAAATAGTTCAATTTTAGATATGTATATATATATACATATATACATATATTATCATGTTCCTTCGGGTTGGAATAATAGATACTTTGGAAATATACATCAGTGCTTCATAGGTATGAAGAATATGTTTATTTGCTCAGCGATCAGAACGATTATACCGCCAGACAAAGACCACGTCTCTAGCTGTGGCCGCAAGGAAAGATGACTACATGATAAAATAATTGATTCGAAAGCGTTCTTAGATACGTTTTTCATAGTTCTTGCCTGTCGGTTATGGATGAAAATATTACTTAGAAGAGTAGATTTCTAGATATTCAAATTGGTTAGAAAAATCAAAATTTATGGTAAATTTTATTTTGTAATCTTTTTAAATCGCGAATATCTCAGCGATAATTTATACATGAAACTTTAATACAGTTTCACTTTATACATTAATTGAAAATTGATACGTTTGTTATTTAATCAGCAAAATATGTTTGAGCAGTTTTATATAATTGAATTAATAAACATTTTTAACAGTTAAATGCATACCTAATAAAAAAAAGCATAATATCTTCTAATTAATCTAATGATTTACTTTTTATATTACCGTCGCAATATCGAAGAATTACTGACAAGGTCGTTCGATTTATAAGGTACGCACTGAAATCGAGCCACTACACTGACAACCGCACGGAAAATATTTTCGGAACACGTTTCACCTGCGTTTCTTTCTCAGTCTTCTCACGTATCTGCGTATCTGCGAAGTTAGGCTTGTCGCGTCAATATTTAATTAATACGCAACGACGTAATCGAGTCAGTTGATACTGCCAAATAGTCTTCCACGCCGCGTCCATAACTCACACAGCACTTTTTTGCACCGACAAACTTGCCCACCGTTCTTCCCGTCTGCCTCGATGGGCGGCCATTACGGACAGCACCTGCCACTCTGGCTACGACCTGACCACAATGCCTTTACTACTATCCCCATCATTGGGGGACCATCCTTGTCAGTCTCCAACGATCTTACCAAAGCAATTTAACGAATCTTAAGAGATCAGATCTGCCTACGTAACAGGGAAATTGATATCAAACTTAATTATTTTCATTTTTACGCTATTATATATTTTTCTTAATATATCTATTTATTACTATTTTTAAATCCATACATTTTTATATTTATTTTTAAACATTGCAAAAAAATATTGCGTGATTTATATAATTTTATTTATTACAAAAATTTATTTTCATCAAGGATTATACGAATTATTGATTTATATTTGCAATTTATTATTCACAGAAAGTTTTATTAATCTCATTGGACAATTTGCCATTTTTCTATACATGCTATTATAACAAACAATAATTAAATTTATTGCATGAAAATTTTATGATTTATTTTTAAATACTGATATTAAAGGAAATTTTTAAAGAAAAAAAAACAGCGGAGGATATTTTTTTCGAACACATTTTATTAAGAGTTATATGTGTCAAAGACCCGAACTGAAGATATATGTTAAAGTCGAGTAGCAGGCAAACAAAAGGACTTTAAAATTAAGAAGTTTTCGCTTCTTAGACGCTTGCCGTCTAAGCAATTCTTTTGAAAGAACGGAAGGTTGCGGACAGGTAAATTATGTTCGAGCTATCGTTCCATTTGTCTTCGACTTTCAATAGCTGTGCAGTAAATGTCTAAGCCAATGCCTTTTAGTAATCAATTTTTGTACGTGGTTAGAAACATTTCTAAAATGAATATTTAATTGTATCGATAGTAGCGAATTGTAGCTGATGAAAGTTTCATTAAAAATGAATGACAGGTACAAGTACTAGAAATTTTATTACCCTATTGAGAAAAGAAAAACCTTAGCTGACTCCATCACGTCGGTAAAACTATGAATGAGCAATCTGCGAAATGTACTGAGATTCTAATCTGGAAATGTTTTTTGTTAATGAAAACGTACGATGCACGAACATTTGTAGTGAAATTATGTATTCGTCACGTGCGCCTATTTTATCAGTATGCGTACAGAGCGTTAGAGAAACAGAAAGAGACACAGGCAGTCGGCAACATTGTGTAGCGATTAAGCGTTCGAACCGGGCATTATGTAACTTAACGACGTCACGTTGCTCGACTGCCGTGCATATACTTGCACATATGCGCACACATATGTACACACGCGTGTAAAAGTTATGACGTATTGCCTTCGCGACATATTTATTAAACGCTACGAAGATATTAGACTGGCGCGAACCGACATCATGTGCTCAAGTATGGACAAGCATTTGTTGGGCACCATTAGCTTCGATAATTTATGGCTACTGTATTGTTTAGAGCTGTCTAGAGCTGCTCTCCCTACGTCTCCACATTTTTTTCATCTCGTTTCTGTCTTTTGTCCTGTCTCGGATATGATATCTAGTTCGTCGAGAAGTCGACTTTACAATTATAATAAACGGTACTCCGCGATTATTTTTAGCGCAGTAAATTGCATGTGTGATTCATATTATTTTTACTGTCGAGACTGAGAGAGACACAATGCACATCGACGACGTGTATCTACATGTGTTTTGTAACAATTTTAATAAAACGCAATTCTTCAGGAATAGGCTACGGAGATGAATTAATCTCGATGAGAACTAAATTGTGCAAGCATTCTCAATGATACAATAGTTGACCACAAAGCTATAGACCGTTCGTTAGAAACAGCGGTATAGCAGCTACACACACACAACAAAATTTTTACTTCACGGAGCAGGTTTTCTCTAAGAATGCACGCACACATTCGTTTGTTTGATTTATAAGCCGGCTGAAAGTGGTCTTGCATCCGAGCATGTGTTATATATTTCAATAAATTCTATGCCGGAGCAATTATGTCTTTAAAAAAAGCCGTCTTTATTCCTTGTTCCGACATGCAGAAACTTCAGAATCTTAGAAACTGCTTTTTAATAAAAATATTTAATGAATTGAAGCTTTTCTACACTATACAAATAAAATTTATAAAGCAATATAAAAATTATCTTCAGTATTAATTTATCACTAAATTTATTACCGTGAGACGTTACATTGAGAAAAATAAAGAAATAGGAATGATTAAATTAGAACATGTTAAAAATTTTTATAATTAAGTATATAGCGCAGAATATTTACAATAATAACAAAAGCAGCGAGATATAGTTTTACTTTTGGTATTTGCTTCAGATCCAAAATCCTTTTTTTTTTGTAAATAGCATAATAATAACCCATCCAGAAATTTACGTAAGACCTCAGATAGTACTATAATTCACCTTAGTCGGCAATAAAATTGGCGGGTCGGGCACGTCGGCACGTTCGTCCTTCAAATTGTCGTTTTACACGACAAGAAGAGAAGCACAGGTACAAAACTAATACTACCAAGGCACACTGATATCTACGGCTTCCCTAACAACTAAACAGCCGTTTCCACGACAACAGGGGGAGAAACCGTTAGGTTTTTTTTTTTACGAAAAAAGTCATAAAATAAGCGGTCAAAACCGACGACAATGAACATAACTTTAACTTTCTATCTTCTTTTGGACCTTCCTCAGATCCACCCGAGTCCGACCTGTCTACGAACCCGCCAGTTCAACTCAATCCGTCGTCGATGCCTCATCGATAGCTGCCTCTAACCGAGAAATGTGTAGTCGCGAATTCGATCTGTCTCAAGCATCTTTTAATATATTATGTTAACGGGTTCGAGATTATATCTGTGTTTATGTGAAATAGTTGCGAGAGTGTAGATCAAGAGTGCCCATATGTCAATATTATATATACTCTGAAAAAAGTGAAATTACACGATTGTTTTTTTTTAATGCAAAAGAATGTTTTATTTTATAAACCAGTCCTAGCTACTTACGTTTTCGTTGTCGCACTTTATTTAATCAGCGTACGTTTTCTTGAGAATAGCGACTCTAATTTTAGCTCGTTTTAATTGCTTGGTATGTAACGAACGGAAAAAAGATAATTTTCAGTATGTTTACACGTATATCTGTCGCGCAAGCAAGGTTGACTGAACGCGAAGCGAGCCGCACCATGATCTTGGACAGTACCGATGCAAATACATTGCGCTCCGCCTACGAAGATTTACGACGCAGCTCGGCATGTGAGTGCAGTGAGTTAGAATCGCGCCAGTCAGCACATGCGCGCGAGAGAAGTGAGTCGCAGAAAAACGGGTTTCGCAAATGCGATTCGAATCGAAGTAGAGCCGCGCGCGGAGCGGCCGCGGTCGCGGCGCTCGGGTGATAATCAGTATCGTTCATCGGCTTTGTTCGGCATACACGAATTCTCGCTCCCCCAGCCCGCGAGCGTCGCGGATCGTGCCTTACGTAACTGGGGTGGGTGGTCTACGGCTCGGAAACACCTCTTTCCAGCTCCCACCACGCAAACCTGCGGCATAATCGGTGCCCGGTAGAGTATTCTTACTCCCCGCGATGTATCTTCCAAGTAGCAATTTTCTCTTTTCGTACTTATCTCCGTTTGATAAAAATTAAAAACGTGGACGCGGGCGCACGATAAAATCGCCCCACGGGGTTTAACGTGCCGCTCCACGGCACGCGGACTTTCGCCCTTTGCTTTTGTTAACAGTCTCAGTCTCGCTATAGTACTCCATCGCACACACATTTTACCCCATGCTACATTCCAATTTATTCTTTAAATTAAATATATTTACAAGTTTGCGTTTCGCAGGCGATAAGGGTTTTGCTTGTTGTTGCGTTTTTAGTCGCGCCGACGGAGTAGAGATCAATGACAATCTCGACAATACTTCTTTACGGATATCCTGGATTGATAACAAGTAGGATACGTATGCGGCATACGCACCGAAAGAATTTTGTTTCGTGACCCCATTTCCCGTTTCGAATTTCACACGAAAATTCCCCACCGCATCCTGTAATTTGTCGTATCGGCATATCGATATATATCCGAACGATATTAGAATGTATACACGCGCATGTAACATGCGGTTACAACATTGCCCTATGCCGCATCATCATGCATCGAAATTGGTATTCAGACTGTCGATCGCTCATTACTTACTCTTCGTAACTAAAATTACATCTCTCACGTTTTCTCTCTCCCCCGGCCGTTCGCGGTGGCGTTTACGTGTGCACGCGAGGGCGCGCGCCCATGCATACCGGGCGTTTTCCTGACACGCATGTATCTCGGATTCAGCCGTTTCGACTATGCTGTCGACGTTGTTAATAACAAGATCACGAACTGGTTCGGCGCATATGATTCGGTACTTTTCTCTACCTCGGGGAAACAACGGGTCAGATCGTATGCCTTCCGAAATCTTCTCGCGGATACTGAGACTGAACACAGAGCTAAACGCCAATTTACCGGCGGAAACTTGAAATTTGCGTGAAACTACTTTCGTAAATACCACTTTCGGTAGGATGTGTCGGGCGCAGACTCGTGAGTCCTCCCTTATTCTCGCTCCGCGCAAATTTCCTTTGTGAATTATTCCTCGAATAGCTAATCGCTCCTTGTTTTGTCCCTCGATGGCCTCGATGTTTTTCTTTCTATACGTAATTCTCCCCCGATCATCCCCCTCCCCCCCGTATTATTATCCGTTTTTGCGTTGACGTCTTTCCACGGCTCGTAATTCCCCTGGGCGCCATCTTCCTCTTTCTCCATTACATTTTTGTATCGTCGTTCCTTTTCGGTCGCAACTATCGGTACGCTACTATACTATAAGCTTTCTTATATCTTCTTCGTTTTTTACACCACTCTGTTTTGCTGTCCCTACGCCCATCCTCTCTCGTGCACTTCTCTCCACACTCATTATTTTCTCGTCTGCGTTTTGCTTTTATATCCGTCAATTCCATATTTTCTTTTTCTCGCGGCACAGCCAGTCCTTCTCTTCTACATCGTGTTTTCGCGTCTCGATTCTTCCTTTTACCAACCGCGGTTCATCTCCCTCCCATTGCCATTTTTATTTCGTTTTCTCTGCCGCGCGCCAAGCTTCTCTCTACCTACCGCGCGTATCTGTATGAGAGAATCGAATCTTGGATGCTACGGAAAACACAATGTAACGAGAGAGAAAGAGAGAGCGAGGTGGCGGAATGTAAACCAGTTATGCCATGTACACCCTTTGGTTAAACCAAAACTGAGTGGTTTTATAGCGCCGATCTGTCTTGCCGTGTTATAACGAGTTCGTGACTCGACATAATATGATAACCCCACCCCGAAACCGTCGGACTCTCGCACAGAATCGCGGGAGCGCGAGACTAGAAGAGGCAGTAGAGACTGGGGTAATAAAGAGTGCGTGGCGGAAGAAACGACAAATCGCCGACAGTGACTCTTCCTCATAGTAGGTAGAGAATTAGTGATCGCTCCACTCGCGTTTAACAGTCATTGTTTAACCCTATGATCTGGTCGGGCAAATTTCGAATTTCCGTATCAAATTTATTGATCATTTTAATTTGAATTGAAGGCTATTATAAATTAGAGAGCGGCTAATGATAAGTATCTTAATATATTGCATTCGTGCAAGGTTGCGGAAATTACTACAAGAAATGGGAGGATGAGGGATGTGGGTAATAAGGAATGTATAACGGAAGAGAGGGCAACCCGCCAACAGTGGCTCTTCTTCGACGTTACCAACCAAGCTTTGAGAAGAATATTCTTCATCAATCTGTTCGTTAATCCGTAACTACGTTTCTTATCACTCGTAAAATTGAAATTTTACTTTACTTTATCGCAACTTTATCTTAATTAATCGATGTGTTATACATGCACAATTGAATGTTCTTTCGAGCTCAATAATTATAAATTGTCGCGTCTCATTATTATATTTAACGCCTTGATTCTGAGTCTACTATTATATACTTGCTTTATATTTATATAAGTATGCAATTATTTTTCGTTTGGAGGGAGAAGGATTATTTCATATTACTTATTATTATAATATTAATATACATTATATGAGCAAAATTAATAATTGCTAAAAATTCTGGATTTATGGTGAAATTATTTATGATAAAATGAATATCAATATTCCGTAAAGTTATTGGATAATAATGAGGCCTTGTCGATTTGGATTTTTCTCCGCATCTTTATCTTATAAAATCTTATAAAATCTTGTATAAAAGAACATGCTGATGTATGGTCCTCATAAGATATCTAGGCAACACTCTTGATGACAATAATGAGGATCATTATGATAACAACATTAACTATAATAACATGTTATTTTCCGGGAAAGAATCTCTGCTCACAAGATGGCTTTGATAAATGCTCGGACTTTGTCAATGCTGATGTAAAATATTGTATTTTCCATTTAAAAATCTCGTATATAATGATAGATATTTGTATATTTTATTATATTTTGTTATATTTTATTATATTTATAATAATTGGTTAAAATTTGCATACTTTATTGATTTGATTATGAAAATATATCTATTTACATTTTATAAATGTTTAGACATCGTTTTACATGTGTCTCCTATATACATTTTATAAAATCTACCGTTACAGAATTCTAGCATTTAGAATAAAAGAGCAGTGTGACTAATAAATATAAAACAAATTTGATTTTTTTTCGTTTATAAAATGGACGAATGATCAACGTCGATTTATCATTTCATGAGAAAGCAATGCTGTATTCACATGTAACTAGGCACACGTGTGCAGCAAAAAGAATACGCGTACGAAGATGCTCTTCGCAATCAGTAACTCAGTGAACGAAGGCGCGTGCGCGCTTTACAGTCGGCATACCAAAGAACACGGGCATAAACATTGTTGGAGGATACGCACGAGGGAGACAAAGAGGCACGTGGTGGCGGCAGAGAGAGGGACGACGGGAATTAAGATGGACGGTGCCAATCGTATGCTAATAGAGCGGTCTTTTATTTTCTCCCTTTACCAGTTTGGGGAAGTAACCCGCGGACGTTCAGTCGCGCGCCGAAGCGGTCAAAGCTCAGTCTATATCGAGCAAAGTATCGTACGAGCGTATCGAGCGTGTTTTTTTCTAGAGGAGGAATGAAATGTAGTAACTGTGTGTGGACCTCACGATGAAATCTCGGGTGTGAAAATACGTGTTCCGATATGCGCGTTCGGATTTTTTTACGATATCCCCCCCCCTCTCAATATCCGCATCTAATATTTAGTCTATCTAGTATAAAAATGCACATTGTTGCCAATCTTATTTCATAATTTAATAATTGATGTCGATGTAAATTGAAATTAAAGTTTGATTCCATTTATCTTCCAAAAACAACTCACTTACAAAATATTCAAGTTTGAAAGCGAAAGGGTAAATTTATTTCTTTATTATATCTTCGTAAAGGAGCGTTATTTCAGGAGATAAACAGAGTGCATGATTTGTATTGAACATAGCATTATCATATTACATCAGGTCACGATCCTTATTATCTTTTATGCTCTTTTATTATATTTTTTCTCTTTTGCCGAAACAAATTGTTACAGTCATAACATTGCGAAGTATATTTTCAGGCTTATATGACAAGCAGCATTTCCCTTCCTCAAAGTTCTTTCTTAGCTCTGAAATTAATTATTACATTGTTGTTTTTACATTTATTAAAGTTTAATTCGTTTTTTATTAAAGATAAACTAATCATCGCTGATAAAATATTTATATTCTATCGTCGATTTCGAGCGCATTTTGCAGGAAAAACAATTTTCTACAATGAGCAGTTTTTTTTTGCTATCTCATACACACGAAGCAAGTATATAGCTACTACAATTCATTATATAAATTTGTTTTATGAGTTTAGAGCCATTAGTGACTATCTACCTTTTTTTCAAACAGTACCGG